AGTAGTCTACCTCCTGCATCATCCATCACCATCCCAGTGGCTTTGTATTGCCATGAGGGACAAGGACGGACTTCAACAATGCTCGCAAAGAACGTGTCCTGGCTTTCAAGACCGGCTCCAGAGAATTGCACGGAAGTTATTCTGCGCAACGCAGCATCCTCGGAACACATCCCAGGCTTTTAAAGTGGTTTCGTTGAAGGTGAAGCACTTTGGAAGGTGTTGACTATGTAAAAAAAAAAAAAAATTAGTTGCTGATTTTATAACTCAATAACTGCTTATGTGTGTGCAGGAGTGGGCGGGGCTGAGGGAGATTAGGGAAGTCCTTGCTGTTTTGAATCCATCCTCAAGGGAGGAGGGGAATCATGATGAGAAAAGGTAGGTGCTCTCCTACCTCCTGGATCCTGGGTGCTCTCCATCCATGCAACAAAGAAAGAGTGGTTTGTGGGAGGGGCAGAGCCTGCCTTTCCCAAGAGGTCTGCCCAATGGAGAAGCCAAGCAATCAGAAGAAACCCTGCTCCCGTTTTTGAAGAGGCATTGTGACTTTAGAAGAAAGAAGGAGGGGCTGGAGAGATGGCTCAGAGGTTAAGAGCACTGGCTACTCTTCCAGAGGTCCTGAGATCAATTCCCAGGAACCATATGGTGGCTCAGAACCATCTGTAATTTGATCAGGTTCACTCTTCTAGCATGCAGAGAGAATACTGTATACATTTAATAAATAAACAATTGTTTTTTTAAAAAAGAAGGTGTTATCAAGGTAAAGCTGTAGCTGGGCATGGTGACACAGGTCTGTGATCTCAGAGCACCCCGGGGAAGGGGACAGAGGTCAGACTGTGAACTTGAGGCCAGTCTGGGCTACCCAGCATGATCCTGTCTCAAAAAAAAAAAAAAATTGCAAAAAAAAAAACCAACAACCCAGTAAACTGAAAACAACCAGCTACTGCTCTGCGGTTCTTGCCATAGGGCACCAGGCCGCTCAGAATCTGAGGCAGTCGGGCAGAATGAGCCTATTAGTAAAACCAGGGCCCAGAACAAGTGAAGACTGGGACCTCTCCTGCGAGCCTGTCTCTGGGCGCTCCTGTTTTCGCAGATACAGAATCAGAGGCTTCGAGAACAATCTAGGCTTTGGAGCTTGGGCCTTGCCCTGCATCGCCCACTCACGATCAGGAGTGCTTCTCTTTCTAGTAAATGGCCTCTGTTTCCTTTACTGTGTTAACATTGAAAAACAAAATCTCGTTCTATCTGGGAGCAGATAGGAAACTATAAGTAAGTACCTAACCCAGTGTCATGCTGGTTGTACGCACCTTGCCACATGCTGGGCGTTGTCTGCTTTGTCCACGTCTCAGGCTCCCATGACCCACGGCATCATCCAGACTTTATCTAAGCAAGCTGGATACACTATGCACTGTGTGTATTTGGGGGTCTGATTTCTAAATAGATCATTGCTAGATGGTTCCTCAAAGGAACACTTCTGACAGCAGCGCCATCTCCCTGTGCCACGTCCTCTAACCCTCTGCACTTCAGTTGCATTAATTCACAATGCATGCTCTCTCTGGCATGCACACGGGCCCATGATGTCAAGCTTGTGTGGGTTCAGAAACTGCATTGCTCTTTCCTAAACCTGTGGCAGAGTGTTTATCTTCCTAGCATCAATTACAGATTTGTCTGTTTGTTTTTAATCAAAGGGCCTCAACATCTCTAAGGGTCTTTCTCACAGTGAATGTAGCATGTGGCCACCTAGCTTTATTCTTCCAAGCATGTGCAGTTCAAATGCTTATGTGTACATAGTCAGATCTATAACTACATAGTAAATTCTTCCTGCAACTCCCTTTTCCTTTTTGGTGAGACTACAATTCTTTTCATTATTCTTTTCATAATTGATCTGATGAATTTGAGGACTATGACATGTCCGGTGCCCTGTTATCTTAGTCACTGTCACTGTCCCATTGCTGTGAAAAGACACCATGGCCACATTAACTCCTTTTTAAAATACAGTTTATTTATTTTTATTTTATTTTCATTGATCTTTTGCTTGCATGTATGTGTGAGGGTATCAGATCTTGGGGTTACAGACAGTTGTGAGTTGCCATGTGGGTGCTGGGAATTGAACCCAGGTCCTCTGGGAGAGCAGCCAATGCTCTTAACTGCTGAGCCATTTCTCCAACCCCTGTTGCAGCTCCTAAAAGGAAGACATTTAACTGGGGTTGGATTACAGTTTCAGAGATTTAGTCTATTGTCATCATGGCAGGGAGCATGGTGACATGCAGGCAGTCATGTTGTCCAAGAAGTAGTTCAGAATTTTACACCTGAATCTGCCGTCAGCAGGGAGAGAAAGAGCCACTGGGCCTGTCTTGGGTTTTTAAAACCCCAAAAGCTACCCCTAGTGATACACTGTATCGAACAAGGCCACACCTCCTAATCCTCTTAAGCAGTGCTACTCCTTGGAGACCAAGCATTCAAATATATAAGTCTATGGAGGGGGGACATTCTTATTTAAACTGCTATACTAGTTTTATGTCAACTTGACACAAGCTAGGGCCATTTAGGAAGAAGAACTCTCAGCTGAGAAAATGATTCCTTCCTTAAGATTGGCCTGTAGAGGGGCTAGATGGCTCAGTAGTTGAGAGCATTGGCTGCCCTTCCAGAGGTCCTGAGTTCAGTTCCCAGAACCCATGTGGTGGCTCACAACCATCTGTAACTGTAGTCCCATGGGATCTGAAGTCCTCTTTTGGTGTGCAGGGGGAAAAAAAACACCCATATACATGAAATAATTAACAACTGAGTGTGGTGGTATGTGTCTTTAACCCCAGCACTCAGGAGGCAGAACAGGTGGATCTCTGTGAATTCAAGGCCAGCCTGGTCTATGTTCCAGGCCAGCCAGAGCTATCTAGTGAGACATTGTCTTGGGATGTAAGGGGCGTGGGTGGGAGGTTGACCTGTAGGCAAGTCTGTAGTACATTATCTTAGCGATTGATGTAGGAGGGTCCATCCCAGTTGGGGTGGTGCCACTCCTGGGCTGGTGATCCTGTGGGTATATGAGAAAGCAGAGAGAACAAGTCAGGAAGAAGAAACCAGTAAGCGGCACCCCTCCATGGCCGCTGCATCAGCTCCTGTCATGGTTGAGCTCCCGCCCTGACCTCTCTTGGTGATGGACTATGATGCTGAACAACAAGATGTAAGAACTTCTTTTCTCCCCAAGTTGCTTTCGGTTATGGTGTTCACCTCAGCAACAGCGACCTAACTACAACAGCGGGGTGGAACTGTTATTAGGTGGACACTCTTCTACTGCAAAGAAAGGGAGTTTGTTGTGAGATGAGCTAGCCAATGTCTGTTGTGTTATATATTTGACTACTGCATGGAGAAACTCTACCAAAGACAAAGATGTCAGAGTTGGCCTCGCCTCAGATGTTCGTGTCTAACTCACAGACATCTGTGTCTCCCTGAGAAGTAACTTTTCTTTAAACAACCAGAACTGTCCAACAGAGTCATAAGCCTGCTCCTAAGAGTGGGGTGGGGTGGGGAATGGACACGGAACTCTCTGTCATTGGAAGAAGCGAAGGAGCAAGTTATGGGTATGTTCAAAGTGGGGACTGGTAAGGGGTGTGGTCTTCAGCACCAAGCACTGAGCCACAGGGCTCATGTTGTATAGTCAAGCTGTTGACAAGCAAGTCTGAGTGGCTCTTGGGTCTGTTTAGACAGAAAGATGCTGCTGTTCCCATGGTATCTAGAATCACGATTCAGTCATCATCAAACCAGTTCTCCACCCTGATATACGCCTGTCATCTCCCTGTCCTCTCTGTGTCATATCAACTCCTGCCTGGGATATGGTGTCTTTCTTCACCTCTACCCTCTCTACCTCCTGCTAAGCGTGCCAAGAAACCCCAGGTCTCAAGGTACGAAGTTTAGCACGTAGGTGAGGGGCACGGCTAGGGGAAGTGTGCGGCGGCTGCCCGGCACAGCATCCCTGGGCCCGTGTGTGTGCTCAGCACTTGGTGGAGCCTGTGGGATGGCTGTACTGTAACCACAGAGGAAGTTAGCGCAGGAAGTGTCCCAGCTGTTGCTTATTAGCATTAGAACAAAATTACACAAAGCAAATTGTTAGCAGACATGTTGCCATAATCTTTAACTGGTGGCAATAAATAGGAGTGATCCTCTTTCAAGTAAATACTAGATTTCCCAAAACCCAGCTTCCAATTGTCCGTGAAGGAATCATGTGGGATGAGGCTAAATCTCGGAGGGAAGGACGTGGAGGGGGCTGGAGCTCCAGCATCCATGCCCGGGAGTGGGGCTGCTGGACAGCTGCTGTTGACTTGGCAGGATGGAAACAGGGATGTTTGTGCCTCTGGACATCTGACCATCTGCTGGGTTTCCCTCAGGGGTTCCCAGTCTGGCTCTCTTATGGAACTGAGAATAGTCACATAGCAACACAGCAGGAAATTTCCTAATGTGTTTCTGTCTCTCATACACACACACAAAAGGCAGAGTTGGGTTTGTTTTTGTTTTTGTTTTTTGGTACCCCTGTTCTTAACAAGATGTTGCAATTTTTAAAAAAATCTACTCCTTCACAGTCCGTGTCTTTATCTCTGATTTAAACAACATTGTGAGCCTGGCCCCGCTGGGGAGGTGGGAGGCCATAAGAGCACAAATCCCGTAGCTTATGCGTAGGAAGACCTCTCTGTTCCCCAGGGAGAGAGCAGAGCGTCCTACAGGAATTTCTGATGATGACAGTGTTCAAATAGAACATTGGGTGTTTCCAATTTTCTTCCAAGGTTCAACAAAACTTTCCTAAGAGAATCTATTTTTTTTTTAATTTAAGCAGTTTCAATGTTAAGAAGTATTCTGTAACAGCATGCAGATATGAAAACAGGTTCTGGCCCTGTAATGGGCAGGGTTGTCACCACAATTTTTATTGTTTTCCTACCAAACGTTTACTTTTGTGTGTTCTGGTTGCTTCTCAAACTCTCAGCCCAGCATCCCTTCCCAAGATATTAATTTGAACACAGTTTTATCTGAGGAGTCCTCTGCTCCTTTATTTCTACTGAGAGAGAAATAACATTGACACTTCCATTGAAAAGAGAGAACAGGCCCATGCCTTTCCTGGTAGACACGGTTGAAAAGAGAAAACAGGTCCGTGCCTTTCCTGGTAGACACGGTTGAGACCTTAGGCAGCCGCTCTCAGCCTGCAGCTCCCCAGGGTGCCCTTTCCTCAGGCATCCAGATGCTCAGGGTTGGCCGGTCATATCAGCCACGTGAGAGGAACAAGTCTAGAAACCAGAATTGTTCTGGTCACCTAGCTGTCCACAGGACAGGCCCCGCTACAGTAAGAGGAAACACCTAGTAACAGCCAGGAGGAGGGCTAAACTGGGCACCGCCTCCACATGACAAAGCTGGAAAGATATTTAAGAACGTGGTTCACTGCCAACCACTTCCTTAGACTTTTCAACTCCAGTATCAAGAGATGCGTGCGTGCGCGCACACACACACACACACCATGACTTTTATCTAAAATCTTCACAAAGGGAATAATGTGTTTCATAAAACATTAAAAATGCTTTAGGCAACAGAAGTATCTCGATTCTTTTTCTCCAAGTGCTTAACAGACAAATGTAATTGGAAATGTTTGGAGCATGCGCACTCTTTAATTTGGAATTATGCAAAATTTGACCATTATTCACCACAACCTGAAGCAAAGCTGGGCAGATGGAACAGCGAGTGAGCTACCCTGTCAAATGTGAGTTCAAGTCCTTCCCATCTGGGCCAGAGTGACCGCCACGGCCTGACCTTTAAGGTCTGTTTAGAGGAAATGGCCTGGCATGTTTTACATTTGAAAAGCTATTTAGCTGCCCTGTTTGACAAGGTTTTTGAGAGGGATGAAAATTAATTATGATTGCAGCATTGCTACAATGATGTGGTCGGCTAATTAGATTCCATGCAAAAACAGGCAAGAAGAATTGGTTCCACTGGTTCTTCTGCAGCCTTGCAGCCTTCATGCCAAGAATAATGAAATGGCTTCTTGGTTTCTTAATTTTTAAATATTTTGGCCAAACCTTAAATGTCTGGGATTCTGCAGTCAAGCTAATTTAAGGCTTCGTGTGAACTAAGACAGCACCTGACTGGGAGTCCCTGTATGGGGACACAGCTCCAGTCCCCATTAGACTTGAACTAGGTCCTAATTCTCCTTCAAAAGCTCCTTGAGGTTTCTTTGACTTGTTTGGGCATATGTTAACTTGGGGACACCAGGGAGCCACTGGTAAGGGTAAGCAGGACATTTGGGAAGCTTACACGTCCCTGGAAGAGGTACCAGGAGTCTACAGGGACAGGGCAAAAACAGTTGAGCTGAGCGATTTTTCCAGATCTCCCTACTTTCACCCAGCAATTCTGTCGACAGGAATTACGTGCCGCTCTTTGAGACAAGGACCTAACGTCAGAGCAGCGGCACCTAGCGCTAGCGATCAGTCCGCAAGGCAGTCTGCTCCTTGCTTCTAACATCTTAAAGATTCTCCCCAAGGTCTGATTCAAGGTCATTTTGTCACATACAAAATTAAGAGACATCAAGCTCCTCCGAAACCTGATCAAGTTTCCATTCAGTGGGAAGTTCTGGGACATTCTTCTCCTTCTCTGTCATAATTCAAGTCCAACCACCGCTGTATAGCTAGCAAAGATCTTGCAGTGACCTGCCACCCTTCTTCAAACAGGGACCATCAAAGTGGGTCCCGTAGCACAGCATGGATCTTTTCTGTGGTCTTCGCCTACATGTTAGCTGATCCGTACAGTAGGTGGCTCCATGCAAGTGGCCACGCCTTTCTTTTTCTGGAGCAGGACATCTGGCTGAGAGCTGAGAGGTCAAAACCCCTCCAGCTCCCTTGCCAGCTGAGACCTCGCTTAGGCTGCAACCCAAGGGGAGATGCCTTTTCCAATTCACATTGTGGCTGTGGCAGACCCCGAGTTACTCTTGACCCCCACCCTCCCCAGATCCACCTTTAAGAAAAAGGATTGCCCAGGAGTTCTCTAGTCTAAATAAACAAAAGGAAAGCACTTGACAAAGAATAGCAGCAAAGAGGTCACCCTTCTGCCCAGTAAACCGTGGCTCCGTCCCTCTCTGGACACAGCTGCAAAGGGTAGAAAATCAATTCTTTTTTCTTATTATTTCACAGTGAAGGAGTGAAAACCTATTTGTAAATTGAATTAAGCCCAATAAAAACACGTCTGTGTATTTGTTGGAGACTAGAAAAATTAGCCACAGACTCAGCTACAGAATGCAGCCACGTAACCCGAAATCAGGGCTCTCCTATTTCACGCGTTGTTGAGACAGTTTTTCTTCTCCCTTCTTTTTCTTCAAGAAATGCCCATAGCAAAATGTCACTGAGATTCTCCTGCACGCCACCATCTCAGACCGCAGCAAGAGTCTGGGAAGGAAGGGGCTCCAAATCTTTGTTTAGGCAGACAGTCGTGTCCAAATTCTTACCTCGTCGGTCAGTCAATAGGGAATCTGGAACCCTCCAGATCACACTTCCTTCTCAAGTGGCAATCTGGGATGCTAGCTATGGAATTGGTCCCCTTTCCCTGTGCAGGCCAGGTCTTGATTATAGAAGCCCAGCCATTGAGTCTGAAAGGGCAGGCCACCGCCGTCTGCGTGCTGAAATCTCATTAGTAGTCTGCCCTCTGGTGGAGCAATGGAGGACTTCAGTAGCTAGGACTAGAAAACATCTTTTCCTCGTTTCTCTTTGAGCGAGCAAAAACCTTCAAGCTTTCCAGATAGTGCAAGGCGAGGCAGTCACCCCAGAGCTGACTCCAGTGGGGCTCATGCTGGTGGGTCCCCAGAACAGGGAGAGGGCGCTCCTGCCACGGGCCACACCAGAGCCCCTCCAAGGATAAGGTCCTTCTCTCACTTTGACGGCCCCCTCGGGGGTACTCTGTGGGTGATAGCGTTCAGTTATCCACTCTGTCATGACACAAATAGCACCTATAAAGATGACCAGCATGTCAGGGACACTAAATGTAATAGGCTTTTGTGATTTTTTTTTTCTGGCAAATCAATAACACAGTTGAGCCTTTGAAAGGGGCCATCTGGAATGTTAGAAATGGCAAAGATGCACACATTTCATTAAAAAGTCTCTGTGGGTGTTGCTTTTGAGAAGACAGTCTACTTGTGACGTTGGCTGGGTGCTGGTCAGGCAGAAGATGACTCCGCGAACTTCAGAACTTAGCTTGCTTCAGCTTCTCAATGTGGTAGCAGAGTTTGAGGGCGGGTCCCAGCTTCAGGCCCAGGTATTTCATGACCATGTCACTCCTCAGCAACAGCAAGGCATGGCCGTCAATCTCCTGGGGGCAGGGTCGGGAAAAGAAAACCCAGATGGCAGTTAGGGCAGCCAAATGGCAGCTCCGGTCAAGCTGTGCTAAGCAGGCAACTTAAGGGCAGGCGAGTCAGTGAGGGAGCATATGCTTTTGGTTCTGGGAGAGCCTCTGGGAACAACTCAAGCAGACATACATGATGTCCTCCTTTTCCTGTCCCTCCCAGAAGTCGTCTAATACTTTGTACCTTTCAGAGTCCCGACTGCTCCCGACGGAAGGAATCTAAAATAACTTCACCAACATTCCTGCTATCCCATGGATGATCATTTTTGTCATCCAACTAAATCCATCCACAGGCAGGTCAGCCCGAGGGGACCCTGACTGATGCTCCTGGCTTTAAAGAGGATCACGAAGCTGGGAAGGGCAAGCAGATTTATCTTAAAATCCAAACCTGTATCCCTGCAAACACATGGATCTCAGCCTGTGGAAACCCTGGCGAGACCCTACCTGACCCACAGAAGTGAAGACAAGCAAAGTCCATTGTCTTAGGCCCTGAATTTGTACAATTTGTTATACCTTCAATCCAAAATTAATACAGTAGGCTGAACAAGTAACAAATTAATTATTACCTCTCTCCTCACTTTATATATTTCAGAAGGAGCTAAGTGATTTTAACATTTATATGAAGGTTATGTATGAGTGAGGCCTCATGTAACGTATTAATGTGTATTTTCTCATTTAACCCTCTAAGCCAGTTGTTCTCAACTTGTGGGGTCAAATGACCTTTTCACAAGGGTTGCCGAAGATGACTGGAAAACACAGACATTTACATTATGATTCATAACAGTAGCAAAATTATAGTTAGGAATGAAAAATATTATGGTTGGGGTCACAATCGTATTAAAGGGTCACAGTGGTCAGAAGGTTGAGAACCACTGCTCTAAGCAGTAAGAACAGGCTGGATCACAGTTTGCCTGGAGTATTGCAGGTATGCTACAAATGACTGTTGGATGCATGCAGGTTGGGTGGGTGGATGGGTGGGTAGATGGACGGGTAGATGGATGTATGGGTGGGGGAGAATGGATAGGTAGGTGGGTGGATGGATGGATAGATGGATGGGTAGATGGAGAGTGGGTGGGTGGGGGTAAGTGGGTAGGTGGGAGGGTGGGTGGATGGGTAGGTAGATGGATGGATGGGTGGGGGTGAGTAGGTAGGTGGGTGGGTGGTGGATGGATAGATGGATAAGTAGAGGGATGGATGGGTAGATGGAGGGTGGATGGATGGATATGTGGGCAGAAAAGCAGTCAAGGCCCAAGAGAGAGAACAGAAGAGAAAAATATCCCTTAGAAACAGAAAACTGAGGGTTGCTCTGCTCTGACAAGTCTGTGCTTGCCTCTGTCTCTCATCTCTGGCTCACTCAAGACCGATCGCCAGCATTTGGGGGATCCTGAACTCCTCTCTCCTTCCACACACCCCATTCCCTGGCCCTCCCTCCAGACCCACTACTTCCATACATGTTTTCTGAAGAGGTCCACGTGAGGCCCCAGAGCCTGAGGGTCAGCATCTTTCACAAACCGAACCACATCCTCCACAGTCCAGGTAGAAGGGTTTCTGCTGCTTGGTCGCCTGGCATCCTGCACCTCTGGAGAGGGGCTCGAGGCTGGAAGGAGTGAGCAGAGAAGGGGGACCATGAGCCAGTGAAACTCAGCCCTCACCTGGTGCTGCCTACTTGGCCTAAGCACCCCTAGCTGGCCTGGGAGAAGTCTTTAGTGCTCTGACGTCCACAGCATGGCCAAGTGACCCTGTGACGGGCGAATTCTGTCATTGGCTGCTCAGCAAGAGCAAGGGGCAGAGGAAAGCACCTGTTCTGTGCCGTGCTGTGCAGGGAGGGAAGTTTTGGAAAAGGTTTTGTCCTTCACAAACAGAAATTCTGGTTCAGCCTAGCTTTCCAGACCCTCTGTCCAGGGCTCTGTCTGCTGGGGTCTATCCTGGAGTCTGCTATAGTTGGGTATTGGTGACTGGGGCTGGTGAGCTGAGAGCTAAGTGTTAGTAAAATGGGCCTCTGCCTGCTATGGGACCAAGCGATACCCGGCCCTCTCTGGGTCCTCTGGAGATGGCAGGGGACCATGTGTTTGGGCCTTCAGTTTTGGACTTTGCAGAATGACTAATCTGTCACTTCACCTCCAGCAGTCCTGGAGGGTCCACCTGTATCTGGTCTCAGAGGAAGTCGATGTGATCTGACTGCTTCCTTTCTCGCCAGCACTAGGTTCTTCTGAGTCCTTAGAAGGATGCCTCTCCTGCTGGCCTTTCTCCCCGCCCTCCCTGCTGAATCTTTGGTTAACTCACACTGCTAATGGTGTGGCTAATCTGTATTGTCGGCATGACTGAATTTAGAATCACCCAGGAGCTGCACCTCTGGGAAGCATGTCCAGAGAGAAGGGAAGGAAGACACACTTTGAATGTGGGTGGCTCCACCCAGAGGCTGGGGCCTCAGACTGAATAGGGTAATGGTGGAGAAAGCCAGTGCGCTTTAGTTTTAATGCGAATTCGATACATGCTAGAGTCATTTGGAAGAAGGAACCTCATTTGAGACCATGCTCCCACCAGATCGTCTGTAGACAAGCCTGTGGTGCATTGTCTTGATTGATGTTGCTGTGGGAGGGCCCAGCCGGCTCACTGTGGGCAGTGCCACCCCTGGGTTGGTGGTCCTCGGTGCTATAAGCAAGTAGGCCAAGTAAACCACTCGGCAGCGTTCCTCCATGGTCGCGGTATCAGTGTCTTTCTCCAGGTTCCTGCCTTGAGTGCCCTCCATAATTATCCTGGATGATGACCACGGGCTGTGAGATGAATTAAGCCCTTTCCCCCTAAGCTGCTTTAGGCCTTGGTGTTTTATCATTACAATGGAATCCCTAGCTATGAGCCAGGTCAGCGCCAGCATTCCCTCTTTTCTGCTTTCTGGTCCACCCAGAATGGAGCACACTCCACTACCCCACCTCACACAACTTCTGCTTCCAGGCCCAACGTGTCCTAAGGAGATGTACCCCAAAACTGTGAGCTGACATAGGCCCTGTCTCTCTTTAGCTGCTTCTTGTTAAGTATTCGTTCACAGGAATGAGAAAAGTAAGAAGCACATCCATACACCTATCCCCTGAAACAATTTTTCCATGAGTCTCCTTGGTTCTGCTCTTTTCTGTCTAGCATGACTGGCTCTGCCTCAGGCTGTCCCTGAGATCGAGAGGTGTCTGTAGACATCTGCCACTCAAGGTCCCTCTGAGTCCCCGTTGCCTATGCACTGTATTGCCAAGTCAAGGACTGTATTGTGATTCCTTAGTACCTTTCCTTCCTAGACACAGAGGAAGGACTTTGGGCTGGAGGACCTACAGACAAACCCTGGGGCTTCACCTGTTTATGATTAGACCACAGTTTATCTTAGACCATGGCAGCGTTCTCTAGCCAGAGAGGTTGGTTACTGGTACTGAACTGAGCAAGCACTGGGCCTTCTGGTCAACCTACCACAGGTGCTCCCCAGAGAGAAGGCACCCTACACATCCACCTGGACACACTGTTTATGGCCCACTTTCCTATTGCTTCCCTATTTACCCTTCTCCTTCCCACTGATACCCCACCAACCATCAAAGCCCAGGGATTAGGAGCTGGGGAGATGGCTCGGTGGCTAAAACACTTGCCGTACAAGCATGAGAACCTGAGTTTGAATCCCTAAAACTGACATAAAAAGAAGATTCATAGCAAAAGTGTCTGTAGTCCCAGGACTCCTAAAAGAATGGAAGAGGTGGGGGCCAGAAGATTCCCTGGAAGCCTGTGAGGCAGCTAGGCTGATGTACATAGCAGAGAACAGCAAGCAGACCCTGCCTTGGACAAGGTGGGAAGGCAAGGACCCAACACCCAAGGTTGTCTTTGAACCTCCGCATGTGTACAATGACTGTGTACAATGACAGAGTGCCATTCACACACAAATGTACGGGTACATGACATAGCCACATGTATACACATACACATGAATAAAATGACAGAGACAGTGAGACACACACACACACACACAGAAAGAGAGAGAGAGAGAGAGAGAGAGAGAGAGAGAGAGAGAGAGAGAGAGA